AAACTCTTGTTATTTGTAGCCTATTCCTAAAGTTGCTGTCGCTATGGTTGTCGGTGCGGTTGCAATACCATTAGCTATCTCGGCTACCATAACTATGACTGGATTTACAGCAGCAGGGATTACGGCCGGTTCGACAGCAGCAGGTTTTATGAGTACTTATGGCGAATATGTGCCAGTTGAAAGTACTTGCGCAGTTTTGCAGAGCATCGGCGCAGTCTTGCTTGGGTTCTTCGACAATGAACGATGACTAACTTGAGTCTACCCGTTATTGTAATTCCTCATCAGTAATATGATTATGTTGAATAATACATTCTTGAAGTAGAACATATTTACTGTTTTGGCTCTCCATTACATTATTATTATACTTTATTAAGACGGGAAAAACCACATCTTGGAGATAATAAACATGCTTGCTAATTATAATATCAATATAGCATTGGGATATCTTTGGTAGTGAACCTAATTAAATTACGATGTAAATATAACCTGTTAGTTGCCAAACGACACATTATTCATAATACAATTAGTTGGCAAGTTGTATCTTGAACTGCAATGATGACTACTAACAAGCGTTGAAAATAATCTTTAAAGTTATACTTGTATTAGACTTAGGATATTTTCAGCATTGCAAATCTACGAGTTAAGTTGGGGTGATATCGACTGTACGTGATTTCCTCTGACCAAAGGTCAGTTTGAATGCAAAAAAGTTAATAACTTGTACGTGCTTATCAACAAAAATTAACAAGTTGCCCATATCGGGTTTATATTATTTATATTGCAGATAAAAGTATTCTTATTTTATTTAGCTTGATTCGATATTATAGCAAATTTATACTGGAACGTATAAATTTACGTTGTCTCGTAGAAGTGGATCGGTTTCGAAAACGATTTCAGACGACGGACCGACCATCAGCAATAAGTCCCTTCAGACTCTTCCATTCTTATACCACCTCTATTGACAAACTAATTAATTTTTTTCCCCATAAGCGTAAAAAATGGAGTTTTGATTCTTGTTTCTGTTTTCTTCTAGACGGGTTTGTAGCCCAGTATCGCTTAATTCTTATAGCAAAAATTTTCCAATATGGCGAAGCGAGTTTCCAAACTGTCTAATTTCTAGATTGAGTGAGACGTTTAAAATTAGGAATTGTGTACTTATATTAGGAAATGATCAATCATTAAATAACTTTATAATCGCTTACGATATTGGTCAGTTTTATTTCTAGCCCAATCCACCCGCATACGGCAACATTGAAAAGAATAAGAGCTACGTTCTTATTGTTCATATTGTTGTTATTAGTTCTATTTCCTTTATTTGGTTAATTATGTAGTAAAGTTAGTACATTAACTATTGAAATTTATTCTTAATCATACTACTTACCGGTATTAGTATTAGATGATATGTGTCGAGAAGCGTATCTTGGTATAGTGTATCTCGGTGTAGCATATCTCGGTGTAGCGTATTTTTGTACAAATATTTGTTTGAACATTGTTAGAAAGTTTGTTGTTTAAGGTTGGGGGTATAGGGTATATATACCTTTCTGGTGACAAATTAGTAATGACGAAAAAAATCGGAACGGGGCGGTCGGATATCACAACAATGTGTACAGATACTTTTTATATATTTCCTGTATCACGCTCACTAATAGTTTATTACATAAGAACACGTGATCATACTTTTTATCACATAATAACACGTAATCATGATTTTTTATTTCAAATACAGTCAACCCTAACACAGTTAGGACAGCTAAATTATGTTCTCTCATAGAGGTGTTCTTTTATAGAATTTACTCATGATTATCGTTTATTATAATATTTATTAAACCAATCAAATATTGGATGTTCTGACATTGAATAGAGAGGGAGGAATTGCATGTAACAAGACTGCGTAACTACTGTGAGAACAACAAGGTCTGTCTGCTAAAGCGGAGTAGAACGTGATCTAATTCTTGCAATTACATTGGTCAATTTTGTACGCCAACCAATGAAATTGCTCCCAAAACAATAAATAAAAATTTGCCAGCCAATCAACATGCAGTGTTTTTATACAGAGGTAAATGTAATTATAAGCGTTCTACAAAATTATGTTCATATACCTTAATAAAATCCGCACACGTGATGCAAATATTAAAGGATTGTTTGCGCTTAAATAATAATATGCAAGGGTCACGCCACCGAATTAAACAAGTAGAAATTAGTTATATTAATATTGTAATAGGTTTATTTTAATCACGAAAGATTTGATTCAATCAAAAGTCAACATGATCGCACAATCTGCAGTGTATCAGGTCACCTGTGAATTGACGAATGATATGACAAAAGGGAAGTATTGCGCGTGTGAAACTGAATCGATTTAAGTTCTAATTAATTGTTCATAAGAAAGTCATATGAGTACCTGATAAAAAAAATCGCGTGTAAGGAAATTTCTATTCGCATAATAAAAGTCAAACGACGTGTTTGTTGTAACTTGTAAGTCATACGATATGTTTGTTCGCGAAAATCATACGATGTGTCTATTCGTGAAAGTCATGCGATGTGTTTACTCGTGAAAGTTATACAATATGTTTATTCGTAAATTGCAATCTATGAAAGTCATACGAGAATCAGCAAACGCTATGATACCAGAGAAAAGCCACCTCATAATTGAGACGACATGACGGTAACCGTAAATAATCGCGTTTCTTCACGATTCACATTGTTAAGCAATATCTTGCTAGTAAAACGCAACTAAATTGTTGATTACTGAATAAACAAGTCATTAGAATTGTTAAGGTGAGCTCGTTCAGCAATATGTCACAAAGGCTTGAGACCAATTGCTGAACGTCAGAGACGGACTACAGCAACCATAGAAGTTCATCACAAATCCTCAAAACCTATGTCATACCCAAGCGAAACCTCCAACTTGACGAATATCTGTATGCATGTGTTCGTGTAATTCGTCAGAGTCAGATTCTTATATCTGAAAAGTTTCAAAAAGTGGCAGTTGTTAAGTTAGCAAGTTGGAAGAAGATGATAGTAAAAATGATCAATTATCAAGCTCACCAAAGCCTTCTCCAAGAATTCAAAGAAAGCTTTGAGGAACGTAAAAAGGAAAATCATAGTTTCAGTCAAGAATCGTATGCTGCAGAATTCGAAGCAATTCTGGATGTACTTGTCGCTTAAACCAGTCATGCCTCAAAAATACTCAAAGGTCAGTATATGCCAAAAGAGGAAGAAGGCTGTTAGATATTGGCTAATGAATAAAAACCGAAAAAAAAAGCATATACAGAAGTCAGGAGAGGAGACAGTAATCCTATATGATAATGAATCGACAGATAATGAAGAGTAAGTAGGTCACCGTTATCATGTGAACGGATTTATTAAGGTAGTGGTCACGTCCTTACAATTCCAACTCTGCAGTCGAGATAGCCAACTACTCGATCTCAGCACAACAGGTGCAAAGTGCTCTAGGTCGAACAACGTGTACAAGCAAAGAAGCAACAATCCAAGAAGGGGTTCTCAGATCCACTTGTTTTGAGCTAAGCATTATATGTAACATAGTCACGCTATTATAGACCCTTATAGATAAAAATACTACTATACCATTGTCGGTCACGGGATCAACAATTTTTTGTGCACCATGGCCAAGCCACAGCCCAAGTTTCTATCATGCTACCAACTCCAAACCTTGATCATTTAACTGCGGACGACTACGAACATGTCTATGAACCAGCAGGTACAATAGCAATGATAAGCTTATGTTATGGACGCATATGACTTATATGATTAATTGTCAAAAGAGGATACATTTCTCTTCCTTGATGCTCTTGAGAAAGAAGCAGAATTTATTAAGAACAGGGTGAAGCCCACGATATGTCTGGAAATCGGGTAAGTATTAGCCTTTTATATTATAACCAAACTAGAATTCAACAAACTATACACAGATAATTTTGGGAGAGGCAAACAAATTATCAGATAATCCCAAATCCAATTGCTTAAACTTGATTTCATAGATGGGTGGCATTTTTAATAATAAAACAATCGCTGGATCATCGTAGGTCAGGAAGTGGATGTGTCTCGACATTTCTTGCCCAGTTAATTGGCGCTGGACATGCTTGTAATTCAGAGAACTGTTAATCTGCTAAGTTCAAGATTACAAATATGTCCGCTAATACTTTTTTATAAAGTATTCCTGTGCACAGATATCAACCCATATGCATCGAGTATTACTTATAAAACCGGTATGAAGAATAATGTAAATATATATACTTTACTTTGGTGGGCCATAATGTTTTGTATCTATATTTATGAATTTTCATAATACTCATAATAGGTGCTTTTAGACCCAATAACTACCGACCTGATGTCTGGGTTATTGCCTCGTCTCAATCACAATGTCGATATTATATGCTTCAACCCCCCTTATGTTGTCACTCAACCCGGAGATGTCAATTCACCAAATATGTTGGAGAGAGCATGGGCAGGGGGAATCGATGGAAGAGAAGTGATTGATAGAACACTACCATTGATAGCAGTATGTATAATGACAAGTTCAGAGGCAGATAAGAAGTCATGATGAGTCAATTATTATTAGTCAGTCAGTCATTTGACTTGCACAAGTAGAATATTAATAAGTTGTCATAGATAATATTAAAGGTTGATTAACTTGATATGTTGTAGGAATCATTATCTTCCAATGGAGTATGTTATCTTCTTAGTGTGACAGATAACAAACCTAACGAAATTAGACAGATAATGCTCCACGAGCATGGACTCTCCTCAGAGGTAAGTGACGCTTGTAACAAATAATTATAGAGATATACCGGAAGAAAGTTTTAGTTAACACTCATTTATGCAAGGTTGTATTGTCGCGTTTGACCGGAATAGAGAAACCTTCAATACTCAAGTTCTGGAGAGAACCGTTAATCTAAAAAATACGAGAATCTCGTGATAGAGGTATTGAACAAGGAGTAAATTTGCAGAGCAGGTCGTAAATAAATTTACCAGATTCTCCTATTAATGTCGATTAATAATTTCTATTTTTCACTTTCACAATCAAGTTTTCTTTATTTAAATATTTTTGGATAGAATCCGTTAGATTGTTCGTTTTTTTAATAAGTACGACTGATTACTGCATAATTCGCTTGTACTTTTATGGAATAACGTCACGTATTATTTTTAATGCAGCTATATGAATATTCATATATGTACAGCAGAAGCTAATACTAATAAATTCAAATCGTAAAAATCCAGTTCATTTTTGGCATTAACCTTTAACCTTCTTAGCAATTGCTTCGGGGAACTGAGACTATACCGGGTTACAGCATCTCCGCATGAGTTGTGCATCAATCAAATACAGTTTCCATGCAGGCGTCCGTAAACACCGACGGTAAAAGGTGAGAAAGAGATGGCACAATAGCTGATCTAAAAAACTGACAACCCTCCACGCTAGTTTAACAATTAATGCGATTGAATTTTTACTAGATCCCAGAAACCAAACAAGAATACCGATCAAAGTAAAAGCAAGTAGAATCATAGTCTATTAAATTTCCCAATTTCCCACTAGACGGGAACTACCTTCAAATCTGTTAGCAAGAGAAACTGGTAAGTTAAAAATGATTAACCTCTTTAACAATTTAAACCAAAGCTGAAAGTTTAGGGAGAAAGAACTAGATGGCAAAAGAGAATCAATCTCAGACAATATGGCTTTCTTTTCACAATAAAGCAGATAGACAGAAAGCCCCAACGTATGGATGGCCGAAAAGATTAAATGTCTAAAGCACTTATTAACAATCCTTACAAAACCTCTTAAGGCGCGGAATCGCTAATTATCAAAAACTTGGGCCGTCACAGAATTGCTACTAATTATTGCAATTTTAACGAAAAGAAAATATCCGAACAGTCACTCGGGACGAAACCAAATACCAAATGGTGGCATTAAGAAAAAGTTTAATTGCCGAACAATTGGAACAAGCAACTTGCAAAATATAGCTTTACGGCTGAAAGATTTAAAAATGATGTCGGAAATGATGAGCTTGAACAACCGGAAGGGTCAAAACGAAAAAAAAGAAACAAATTATCAAACCAGTTGAAATTCAAACAAAAAAGAAAAGCGCAAGAGCCCAAAAGTATTACTAATTAATGTTAGCGTCTGGAAAGTCTTGGGCAATAGGCAAGAAACCAAACTGATAATGGGAAGAAACAATCGATTAAAGAAGAGATAAGCAGAACCGTCGCTTGTAAAATTAATTTTCTTATAGCATGCTCCTATAAGACAATGCTAGTTCAAATGAGGACTGATGGAAGAGAACCTGTGCCCTTTGTCATAGCCATAAAAGGATGACGATGCTGGGTCCGCCATTGTTGTGGTTCATTTCCATAAGAAGCGAACACAAACACCTTTTGCTGCAACATGTGCGACAATAAAAATGGCGATCTAGCGAATTACACGTACATTTACATTCTGTCTTTCACACCGTGTCTGCAGTGTCGGCATTTGTTTGATTATCATACCGCAATGTTTTCGTTCGATAGCTGTTCTAATCATGAGCTTCTCTTCTTTCTATTCGCTGTTCAATTGTCCGCACATGAATGATCTTTGTCTCCAGCTAAACCCTAATGAAAACCTTGATCTTGTACCATCTATTTAATTTCGATGCCAAGAGGCATTGCTGGACTTGCTTGGAATCTTCTCTCATTGTTTCCTACCATATTTATTTGGCGTTCCTGCATGTCAGCTTGACAACTCGTTGTCGCCGATGACAGTTCCCTGTCCTGATCTAAGGATGAATAAGCAGGATGCTGCGTACTTCTGTACCTCGCCACAGGGATGATGACTAAGTGAATTTTATCTGATGACAAACACAACGACTATCGAATGCAATTGATCCCGTTCTTACTAACGGAACGATGCAAGAGGATATGTACCTTTGGATGTCCCGGATGTTCCGCAAGTACATTACGCATATTATACACATGTACATGTAATTTTACATATATTTAATTTTCGATGAAATCAGTCTTCATTCATTTTGAATAAATGATGTTATTTTTAGATACAGTGGCCAGAAAAGGTACGACAAAGGGGATGTCCGTTTTCGAATCAATTATCGGGAATGCGTCCGTCATTCTCGACGCAGCTGCAGTCAAGGTTACAAAACGCTGGTTATACTGTATATATCATATATACATTGGACATTATGGGTTAGCAATAACACGAGTAATATAGCTATTTCGTAGAATAAATGCGCGCGACACGACACTTACAAATCGGATGCTCCTTGGCAGGAGGTGATGCTTTTTGTTTTTGCATGTTACATGAATATCGTAAAGATTCGGCTGCACCTGCCGATTAGTCTGCATGCAAGACTTGCGTCTCGAGACTTCAGCCTTTGTCTCGCAAAAAACTTTCATATAACTTTAAGGTTAAATTGTTTTTATAGCTTTATTTATATAACATTATACCGTGATCGGCATAAACATTACATTCCATTCCGAAAATAACGACCATTGTCATTGCTTGCTGTGAAAGAAAAAAAATCATATGTCTACAATAGAGTGGGCCCCCAAGGGTGGAGTATTTCATTCTTTGTTCTCGATCTTATCCGTTGTTTGATTCAGAGAGATGCATAGAGCATATCAGTAAACCATCTTCAACTGTTACAGACGCATATAAACTATAACAAACTGAGATCAGTTGTTAAGTGACTTATCACCAATTAATGTTCCTTAATTAAATGCACCCTAGATTAGCCTGCATATGTTATTGCTTGCGACAATATATTCTATCAAGTAAAACTGCTGCTAGAAGGCGATAACTAAACAAAACGCCAACTTATCCAAAAGATATTCTATCACTATTTCTTGCATGAAAAGCACAGGGGTATTGTGCAGCAGCAAGCGCGGGGGTTACGACTAAAACAAAACAAAAAGCCCACATTGCCACAATTCCGTCCCTCAGTTCTCAATCGAATATGAGACCCTTTTCTAATATTCATGTCGCTCTTTTTCGTTCTGCTAATGTCAATTGACCTTCATTGAGCGTCTGATTGACTTCTCTGAATAGCTGATCGCTCCAAGTCGGCAAATATCCTCTGACGACGACATTACCGAGGCGTCCTGTGTGATTTCCACTCACACCATTCCAACGTGGACGAGTTTCGGTAATTCCTTCAGGTACTTCTAGCTTTAATTCTGCTTCCAATGACTCTTGAGCCGTCGCCTCGATACCATAAAGCGAATAAGTGTATTGGTCGATTGCATACTGAAGGCATGCCGACGCGTATAATAGCGTTTCGAAGAAATTTCGCATGCTCTGCGTTTTCGTCATACAGGTGTTCCTGAATATTCGTTGTGTGGTAATGGTAGTAGTTGCTCGTGGTAGAGCTATTTCACAAACCATTACTTCGTCGCGACCTGTCGACTCTGGATACATCGAGTATTCCACCCCATCACCATGCCCACGACGCTTTTTTACTGTTACCCAATTTCCCTCTTTTTCCTCTGTTAAAACTACTCTATTCCCATCCGACTCCTCTGACCTCTCTTTCTCCCATTCTCTCCCAGTCAACCCCCATGTGCCCCGTCGCAAATTTTCAATTATAGTGCTTCCTACTTTGTCCGCATCATCACAAAAAGTCAATCCTTCAAACAACATCCGACGTATCCGAACCATTTTACGTACGCATTCCACAAACCATTCTATGGTTGTTAAGTCCGTGGGTGGTGCATAAGGAATTTTGGCCATACTTTCACGAAACAGTCTCATGCGACCCTGTTGGTCGTATTTGCAATGGTGTGCCAAGAAATGTTGGATCGTCGTCGAATTCAACATTCCAAGGAAAAAGTATGGCGAGAGACGTGTTGTGGTTTTTACCGTAAAATATATGCACTATAATATTACGTCCCGTTAGTACGTTGAGTATGATACGGAGGGTTACAAAATCAACAATCGGAGGGTATTACATGAAATGGGGCTCATATTCGTTATATATTCATTATGTAAACATCCCCTATATGAAACTCATATGTTATCTTTACCTGGTTCGTAACACAAACACTGTCTTCATCAACGAAAAACCGTTGGCGCGGCTAGTGTTGAGAAAAACCATTATTAACACAATATTAAGATAGCACATATATAGATATGGTTCTATGTCGTAAACAAGACACGGAACTCTTATGGATACTCAATACAGAAAGAGTGTTTTATGCTTCTATGATTTATGAAACTTTTCGATATTAAAACTATGTAAACTCACCTGGTTTTTCGTAAAATATCCATAATTTATCGGATGTATGATTTTTGTTTTTATGTCCACTCTACAAGAATAAACATATGTCAAAAAAGATGTGAGCGAATATAAATTAATAGTCTTTTCTCAACAGAAAACGAACGTGGTAGTCTCTCTGTTTTGAAGGCTGTACTACTATAAATGTGGTGACTGATCACTGATGGCGTGACTAGAATTCAAAGTTTGTCTTCCGAAAGGTATTAAAAGTAGAGTTAACTTACCCGCATTTACTAGTGCCACAGAAAACTATCTCTCTAGAGTTCATACTTGTCTGCAGATACTTTCTTGCTTCTTTTAAAAACTTCCAAAACTCGCTTTCCTCTCCAAATTCTTCTCGCACCTTGTCTACTCCCTCTCGGTCTACCATGATTAACGAATACCCTGACTTGTCCCTCATTGTCTTTTGTTTTGTTCCCAAAAAAGGTACGTAAGCCTCTGCAGGCGAATTTTCCTTTTTTTCTAACCTTAATTCATCCCCCATTTTTTGCCAAAATTCGGCTTCTTTTCCTCCGTTCTTGCCGTTCCAATAAAACACTGGTCGAAGCCATTTCTGACATACGGCACTGCCAAATTTAGAATGCGCCCATGCAGTGCGCACTACTAGAGCATATACCGGAGTTGTATTAGGACCTCGATGC